TGGCGAGTTTGACTGTTACTGTCAAGTTGCGGTTTGTTGTGGTGGACAGTGCTTCAGGGGAAGCGTCGGCCATCTGTTTTTGAGTCAGACCCATTTGCGACATTGCAGATTGCAGTTCTTGCGAAGAGACCAGTCCGTTTCCATCCTCGTCAAGTCTGAGCATGAAGAAGCTCCAAAGCAAAGCTTTGCGGTGTCTCTCAACGACGTTGTAATAAGCTAAGAAATGGGTCACAATGTTGTCTCCTCCATTTCGAAACCTGTTGAGACCAAGTTTAGCATGCTCGTATGCCCAACCCACACGTGTTTCCTGCAGTAGCGACTTAGAGAAACTCTTGTGGACGTGCTGCACGTAAGGTCTGCTACGTTGACCAAATCGTTGATCGAGCAACCAGCTGGTGTGCCAGAGGGAAGACCATTCACCCGGAGTCGAATCAGGCGATTGCTTCCCTTCGACCACCAGATTGTAGTCGAGTCGCATCACAGGTCCGAACAAAGGTGAGGTGAAGTCTGCCGTCGCCGCATCGTCTAGGAAGAAGAAGTCATCGTTAGAGTAGATGAAGTTGTCGTTAAGTCCAGGTTGGTTGCCAAGCATCGACTCGACAGCCATTGAGTTGAAGGTTGGCAAAGCAGCGCGTTTATAGTCGTTGCGGTGTTTGTATTCGGCAGGGGTCAGAGGGTGGGTTACGAGCCAGTTCTCAGTGAATGCGTTCCAGTCGTGATGCAGGTGTACTTTGGGTGTTGTGACGTCAGGAATGAGCAGATGTGTGAGAGAGTCAAGGAAGGATGTTGAGGTCGGCGAGGTAACTTCTTGACCTGCAACAACGTGAGTCGCGTTAGCGACGGAAAGCCATTGCGGCACTTGGCCTTCTCGGATTTGGCCTTCGCCCGAGGTGAAGCGGTCAGTTCCGAGGCCTTGAACTCTACGAAGCTGGGAAGGCAGACCGGCAAAGCCCTCTGTGAGCCTTTGGACGTCCAGCATGAAGGGTGGTGGTGTAGATCGACGACGCAAAGTAGAGGCAACCTTGTTCAGAGCTCTTTTGACTGCGTTGGGAGGCGACGATTGCTTCGCTCCAGGCTGCAAGTGGTACGGCGCTGAAAAGTCGGGAGACACAATGTGGATGTTCGCCAGACCATGGAGGTGCTTCGTTGCTGAACGCATGGAGTAGCACAGCTCTTCGTGGTCGCGGAAGCGGTTCTGGATCGCTGCTCCTCTGCGAGGTAGCTTCTTGTCGTCAACTGGCTTTGGCTGTGTCAACGAACGGCGAGCGACAGATCGTGGTTGGTATAAGTCTCTACCCTCAGGAGAGGGCACTGATGGAAACAGATCCTCCTCAACATATTCTTGCCAACGACCTGTCGGACGGTACCCGTGCAACCACTTGGCACTCGAGTGACGCTAGTCAGATCCATTAACCCATGAGTAGAGCAAGTCGATGCTAGTATGATCCGGTCTTTCTCGATAAGCGACCTTCATTTCGTCACATACGGTGCCTTGGCCTACCCATGCCTCGACACATCCTTGCTTGTCAAACAAGAGCTGCTGTGCTGGAATCGAAGTGAGCTGCCGCTTGTTAGTCGCTGATGGCTGAGGTGCAATAGTGGAAATTTCTACACTGTCATCGTGATGCAACTTGAAAGGGAGCACCTCATCTGCGGAGAAAGGCTGCACGGGTCGGGGTAGTGTGGGGATCTCTATTGAAGCATCTTGAAGCGAGTCTTCATCGTGAAGAGACACAGTGAAGGGATCTTTGTGGTCGTTGTGTAAGGCCTGATTGATAGCTTTGAGTACCGCCTTGCCTCCGGCACCAAGCAAGGTTGCCGCGAACAGGAGGAGGCAGACGGCTTTCTTCTTGCTTGTACCCAACCTCGGTTTCGAGGCGTAAGAATTGTCGGGAAGCTGCATGTACCCAGACTTGCTGAGCACAGTGGGTAACTTCTGCTTAAGGCTGGAAAAGTGGTTGGCGATGAAGGTGCCTACCAGTGTGTCCGATGACTCGGGACCACTAGACCACTCATGGCCGTTGTAGTCGATAGACCTCCCATGAGGATGACTTGCCTCCTCACAGTCGAAGACGGTGGTGGATGATGATGAGGAGCTGCGCCAGGAAAGCTGAGGTGAAGTGATCTCTGCTTGATCTGGCTGCGAACACTGGTGGTCCCTTGTTTGTTGTTCCTCTTGCGATGACATTAAGGCGATATGGCTCCGTCTTTGAAGTAGGACTCCATTGTGAACTAAGCTGAAGTTGGTTGTCGCTTGACAATGAGGCTGTTGAAATGCTCGGAAAGGGCCAAAAGAGCAGTCGATCTGTCCTTCGAAGCGTCTTGTGCTGAGCGCGAGATGATGAGAAGCAGCATCTGGAAGTATGTTTAGGACCGAGAAGGGTATGTACATGGTGGATAGGAGGCAAGATAACAGGCTGAGGAGGGCAAGGAAGGGTTGCAGCTGTGGATGTGACAGTCAACCAGAGGTACACAGCGCCATTGAGGATCTTGGTACAGCTTCTTCGCGCCGCTTCCACACTGTAGATCGACGCGGCTGTAGGGTGCTTGTACCACGGCAACAGCTAGAGGCTGTGACCGGCGCAGGCTTAGGTCTGTCAGCTGGGGTAGCGCATACAGGAAAGTTTGCAGATCGGATGGACAATTGACCACGCGAGTTGAGCTCACTGAGACGAGGAAGAGCTCACGGGCACACAATCGGCGCCGGGACTCAGTGGTCCGCAGCTTGACAAGGCGCCAAAGACAACATAAAGGGCTCAGGGTTTGAAAAACATAGGCTGCAGAGCGAGTGAGGGGGCAACAGCATCGTTTCAGGTAGGTTTGAACGAAAGGGGCGATGGCGAAGCAAGGTCAAACGAGTGAAAACCACGAGGTGTCTCATCGCGTGATAAGGCAAGTCCATGCGGGTGTGCCGGCGGCATAGATGTACAAAGAGAAACAACATCTCGGCAATACGTGATGCCACCGCGTGGTAACTCAGCATCCCCTCCCGAGATCGTCGTCTCCATTCTTCACACTTCATGTCTGCATCCACACACAAATACTCTCGCACAAGGACATCTCACATCTCTCACTCTGCAGATGATGGACCCCGAGAAAAGGTTCACAGGAACGGCAAAGCTCGGGGAGGAGCAGCCGAGCGGGTACATCTCACAACACAAAGCGCTTGCATAGACCAAAGTGTCAGGTCTACAGCCGGAGGAAATATTCCGGCCCGTCTAGATCGGAGTTCAACCAAACCATCGGCCTGACCATTTGCACCATGCCGTGCGCGTGTGGTCGTGTTCACTTGAGCACCGTGCCGTCCTTCCATCGCCTGCTCCAAGGTCTCACCATCTTTCCAGGTCTCTTCATTCACCGTCTCAGATGGCAGGAATCTTGGGAAACATGGCCTCTTCACCTTCCGCTAGATTTCATGGCCTAGCCTGTATCGTGTTCTGTCCGAGATGTGGGGATCAATGCTGATGCATGACAAGTACCCGCAGCAATGCAGCAACCAAGAGGACGATGCCGGCGGGTCATGCGAGCTGCCGATTGAGTTCAAACTTCGGAATAAATTTTATGTGTCCTGGTTTTTTCTGGTCTTCTTTCTAATACTTTCGAAGGTCTGACATACAGAAATTCGGTCTCAACAGCACCCTGAAAGTGGAGAAGAATGTTCAATTTTCCTCTATGCACCGACAACATCTGCATCGCCGTCACTCGCACCTCCTACTCGACTACTCCATTACAGAGGCGCATTCCCTGGCCTACGCAGCTACGTAGCTCACGCTCATCAACATGGCATCGACCTCGATACACAGCGTCGGAGGAAGCAGTCGCAGCGACTCGTCTCCTCTGCCCGCCGCAACATCTCATCAGCTTTCGAAGAGCCAACAGTGTAAGCATGCTTCCCACCTCTCTCGCTTCCTGAAGTCTCGCATGCACTGACTCTCAGACCTTCTCACTACCGTGGCCGCCTATCTAAACGACGTACAGACGAAACACTACTAGACGCAGAGGTAGGCACGAAATGCTCCTCCCTCGGCCCTCCTGCATCACATCCATCCTACCCAGCCATAGCACCACTGTGCAAGCAATACCCAATACAAGCATCTGCTATCTTCCAAACATATCTCGATCTCAAAAATGGTGCTGCGGCGTGGGATTTTGTCGAACCTTTGGCGCTCTCGTCCCAGGAAGCATCGACAAGTGGGAACGGAGGTGCGGAAGTGGTGGTCAAACAGGACCTGGTGGGATTGAGTGATGCCGAGGCGGAAGCGCTGGTGCAGGAAAAGCTAGCGGAGGTGCAAGGAGGTGTGTCGAAGCTAGGCTTGATCAGCGGAAAGGGAGAAGAGGAGGAGGAAAATCTCTTGAGGACAGGCTTGGCAGCAATGAAAGGTCGTCGAAAGGATGCGGTACGTACATTTTCAAAGCCACAAGTGCTAGCAGCCGCTCGTTCTTTGCATTTCATCATGAAATTGCACGCTGACCTTTGTCTTCGTCCTCTAAGAACAATCTACAGAAAGCATATGAGGTAGTCATTCCTTTGACCATCACTCAACACTTGCGCGCTGACCAGTACGTCCACAAGCCTACGATCTCCTCCTCATCCGCTCCTCATCTCTTCGTTCTGCTGACATTTTTCTTTTTTTGCTATGCGCTCTCCACCCTTCTTATGTCCTGTTCGATCTGGTGCAGACTAAAAGCAATCTTTACCTTACTCGACAAGCATGCAGAAGCTGTCGCGCCAACAGGCCAAGAAATCGACACATCACACGTCTTGCTTGCAATCATCGCTCCCGACTCAACATTGGTATACTATTTGGTGTCCAAAGGGTTCGTCAAACCCATCAATTAGCATTCCTTTAGCAGCAACATACATTCTTTTCTCTTTGCGATGCTCTAAAATGTGTGTAATTCCACTTTCGCAGGCCAAAGTCTTTGCCAAGCTGCAAGGAACAAAACTTCAACCAGGCCAAGCCTTAATATATGCAACCTTTGTACAGCTTTCTAACAGCGTCTTCGTGGCCTAGTTGGTTAGGGCGTAGGTCTCATACCAACGATCCTGTTACACAGGAATCAACCTACGAATTGCAGCAATGCGTTCAGATATCCTAAGATCGCGAGTTCGACTCTCGCCGAGGACACTTTTTGCATCATTTTTTCTTGACAATTTTTGTTCTTCTGCATGGCCCACGTTTGGCTTGCCTGTGGAACCTCAATTATGTATGGCAACCACGAACCTAGAAGCATCAGTGACAGAATAAATTACAGACGGAGGAGCTCGAACTCTAGCTTCACAAAGAACAAGGAATGGCATAAGAACAATATCATTGTAGTAGGTCGTAAAAGTTGTAACAAAGCAAACCAGGTACTTTCGTCGACAAGCCTTAACGGTCAGGCTTGTTGCGGAACCTGAGCAATGGCGCAAGGCTCGACAACGGGCAGGATGACTGCAAGAAGGGATGATGCAGCAACTCGTCCGCCGAAGCTCGACTCTTGACATCAGCACACAGACAAACCGCCAAGAAGCTCTTTAAGTTCTTGGACAGCGTCTCGGGCTTCTTCAGCGTCGGTGTACCGTTGGTCGCGATGAGGTACAGTGCCTTGAGTGGCTCTTCGTCCAGATAAGGTGGCTCGTTCTCGATCATTTCGATAGCCATGATACCCAAACTCCAGATATCAACCTTAGCGCCGTACTCCTTCTGCTTGACCACCTCGGGGGCCATCCAGTAAGGCGTACCCACCATGGTGGCACGCTTCGACTTTTGGTCGGTAAGCTTGGCACAGAAACCGAAATCGGTGATCTTGACTTGACCACTGGCGTTGAGAAGCACGTTGTCAGACTTGATATCACGGTGAATGATGCTCTGGCTGTGGAGATGTTCGAGACCCTTGCAGGTCTCGAGACAGATAGCGGCAATTTGGTCCTCCTCGAGCGTGTTGTTGTCAATGACGTCGGTAAGGGCACCACCCTCCATGTACTCCATGATCACCCACAACTCGTTGTTGCGCACCAAGAACGAGTTGAGGAAATTGACAATGTTGGGGTGCTGCGACTCCTTCATGACCAAAATCTCGTTGACAATAAGCTCCTTGCGCGGCTGCTGTGACAAGTCCATCGTCTTGATAGCCACACGCTGGCCAGTGGCGAGCGTCTTGGCGACAAAGACGGAACCAGAAGCACCTTGACCGACTTTCTTGATCTTGCTGTATAGCATGTTGGGATCATCTGGGCTGACGACGGAGCGAAGCTTCTCCATGATCTGTGCTTCGGACATGGTGCTGATGCGTCGCTCAGCTTCCTTCTGCTGTGCTGTCTTGGCACCGGTCTCCTTCTTGGCCATCTGGAGGGGCTTGACTTGAGCAGCGGCGGCAGACGAGCTTGATGGTGCCGCTGCAGAAGGCTTCTTAGCAGCAGCAGTAGCGGCGCTGGAAGATGAAGGAGAGACACCAGCAGAATCGTTGCCGAGCTTGAGCTCCTTGGCCTTGACATTGAGACCCTGAACACCACCATCATTGGCAACACGGCTGGGAGCTGAAGAGTTGGGAGGGGGCGGTGCAGGTCGAGTCGAGGCGAGGGACGAGGCGGGTGTGGATGTCTTAGGGGCGCCAGGAGCAGCAGGAGCTTTGCGAGATGGGACCAGGTCAGGGCGTGCAGTAGAGGCAGAAGTGCTGGAACCGCCAGGAGTGGAACGGCCGTACTTGGAGTCGTTGGAAGCAGACCCGCCGAAACGAGAAGGGGAGGCTTGCGAAGAAGCAGGGCTGGACGCGTCTTGGCGACCGTCGTCGGAGGGCCGCCTCGTCATGGTGGAGGACTGCGTTGGCCTGAGTGTCGACGAGGACTGAGATGAGGCAGCGCCAGAAGGCGAACTGCGGAAGGCATCTGAAGGGGGCTTGGCTGCACTAGGATATTGGGGAGCCTCCTTGGACAAGTTAGAGCCAGAGTCGGCGCCTGCACTGCCAGCGAAGCCGGTGCCTGCCTTGAAGCGGGGCGCCGAAGAGGCACTCGGGATCTCGTTGGGCTTGCGTCCGGACTGCAAGTTCATAGTCGGAGTGCCGAGACCAAAGTCGTCGCGCTCTCGTTTCTGGATATCGGTATAGAACTCGAGAACGTCAAGAACGGCCTGCGGGTTCTTTTCATAGTCCTCCCGAGTGATGGCAGAAGTGGTGAGCAGCTTGGACCACTGCTCGGGCAAGCCGGTGAAAGCGCCGCTGATGGGATCGAAGCCGACGTGAACCTGGTGAACAAAGTTGGTGGGAGAGGACACGCCCATGAGGGGCGAACGTGAGTAGATGTCGTCCATCCAGCCGTAAAGCTCTTCGTCGCTCTTGAGCTGGAGGTAGAAGGACTTGTCCTTGGTCTCGACTTCGATGCAATATGGCTTGAGATCGGTACGCGAGACATTGGAGATGTCCTTAAGGAAGACAAGGGCGACAGCCTGGTAGGTGGTCTCGTTTTTGTGGAAAGTGAGTGTCTGTTCGCGGAGAGCGAGCCATCGCTTGCTCCAGATCCAAGATCGGATACCATCCTCCTTGACACTGACCCAGCCCTTCCTTACAACGGCAGCGCCGCTAGTTGTGGCACCTGGACCAGCCTGTTGCCAGTTCGAGTTGGAGCCGAGATGGCTTGCTGGTCCAGCACCGGAAGCGGTAGCACCAGGGCCAGCAGGACGCAATGGACCGGTGTAGGAGCCTCCACCAGCGCCCATGCCCATTCCGACAGAGCTAGGTCCAGGGTTGTACTGCGAGAGAGGTGGAAGGAAAGGGTCGTTGTGCTTGCTGGTCGGGACCGGAGGTGCAGGTCGCGAGGGCGTCAGGGAGCCAAACGAGCCCTGCTGTGAGTTGCCAGAAGCGCCATTGGACGCGCTGCGGAAGCCAGACATGACTACGAACTGCTTGCTGGCTTGCAGGTTAGACTGCTAGAGGAGGCGAGCTATTGTGTTGCGAGCGAGGGCAGCGAGCTTCGCCTGTAAGGGTCGTTTTGATGGCAGCGTGACCGAGACAGTAGGTGCGAAGGTGTATTGAAGCGTCAGCGAGGTTCCCTTGATGAAATGAAGTTGTGGCAGCTCCTCTCGGTCTTGCCTGTGCGAAATGAAGCCAACAAGGAAGCGCGGAAACAGTGTTGAAGGCAGAGACGTACCTGACCTGAGCCGTGTCCGGATCTCGATGTTTCGGAGACGAGGCGGAGAAAAGCCTATCGACCTTGAACCATACACGGGATGGTTTGGCTTGGAGATGTCAAGAAGTTTGGCGATCGATGACGCTGTTCACTGAGCAATGTCGACAGCAGTCGAAATAAAGTGTTGAGGACAAAGGGAAGGTCGTGGCGCAGAAAGAAATGGCGACAGCGAGAGCAGCTCAACGTGCGTTTTGAGTGGCAGAAGGCATACAGAATCGAGTCGGGGGTTGGATAGGATTCGCGCGTGTGTGTTGTGTTGCGTGAGAGCGTGCGTGCGTGCGTGCGTTCCTCCCAAAGAGGGGTAGAAAAGCGCGTTCACGCCAGCAGAAAGCGCGGGTCGGTGGTCCTTAGTTGAAGATACATTGGCATCCCAATCAGCATTACAAAGGTTTACCTGAGACACCAATAGAACAAGCTTGTGAATAAGTGACATGCATATGAGTTTCATAAAGGTTGCCATGGCAACAATTCATGAGTACTGCAGGAGGTACTTGACTCATCTCAGTACAATGTTCTCAAAGATAGTGCTAAGGTATATATATGCTCATGTAGTCACACACCTCTATAGAAATGATAAGTATTCATGTAGCTGTACACCTGTGGTAAGGAAGCCTGATTGTGGCTCCAAAGTGGTGTATCGCACTTCGTTATATTTCAACTTCCTTTATGCAGTCTATTTTTACCCCGACACAAGCGAAACCTGACGCCACGTTACGCCAGCCACGACTCGTGGCTTTCCAGCTGCGGGCCATCTTGACTTCGGAGGACCCTTCTGTTGGCGTTCCTTTCTTCGCTGCGGCTGCTAACGAAGGAAACTGCCTTTGCACTCCTAGAAAATGTCATGCCATGCCATCATCCCAATTACAGCGTCATCTCACCGGACTTTTTAAGCTGCTTAAGGCGAAGAGCTGTGATGACTTGGGGTTCGCCGGTGCAGCTCTGTCTGAGCGTGCGAGTCGGTCCAAATGAGGAAATATTTTTGTGGGCCGTGCAGCAAAAAAATCAAAAATCAAAAATCAAAAATCAACAATCAACCCTTCCACTGCCTTGCCTTTTCTTCTGACGCACATCATTATCCGATTGCAGCGACGATTGACACCTTCTCTCACTCGACGAGAGGAGGATTGCTAACAATCATCATGAGCTGATCAGTAATCGACGCTGTCCAGTCGGCAACATCGAATCACTATGGCTGTTGAAACGTCTTTCAGCAGAGCTCGTGAGCATCCTCGATGGCGCACGCTCGTCGGCTCCTCCGACAGACCTCAACCAGCGCAGCAACATCGTCAACAGCGCCGTCAGCAACTTAGGCAGCATTTTGGCATCTCGAGCACCGCCATCTCAGGCGCATTATCCGACCGTGCCGCTAACGAAGTCAAGGGCAAGTCCAAGGCGCGACCGTCCATCATCCCTTCAGCGTTGGGTCCAAACTACAGCGCCTCGGAGCACACGCTTCGCAATGACTACTCGCAGCATTTCGTCGACACCTCCGCTGGTCTGCTTCCCGGTAACGCCGTTCGCAACCCTTCCTCCAGCACCCGCTTCGACGAGTACCCAAAGTTGAAACGACTTGTACAGCTCAAAGATGCTCTCGTGGCCCGAGTTGCTCATCCTCCCACATACCTTAGGGTTGACTTACGGCCTTCCCTAGAACCATTCCGCGATCCATCTCGGTCTACAGCGACTTTTCACCTCGGCAGCCTCATCCCTGTCAAGTATGATGTCGTGCTCATTGATCCTCCACTAGAAGCTTACGAGTGGGAAGCTTATGCCTCTGCATCCACGTCCGTCTCGACTGGCGCTCAGACTTCGACATGGTCATGGGAAGAGATTGCTGCGCTACCAGTACCTCAACTTGCCGCGAAAGAGAGCTTCGTCTTCCTCTGGGTCGGCTCTGGTGCAGGGGATGGGCTGGAGCGCGGCAGAGAGGTGCTCGCAAAGTGGGGCTACAGAAGATGCGAAGAC